AGGAGCAACTTGTGGTTCTTATTGTTGCCTTTTTTAACGCTTTTCAATTGGGAATGAGGGGTACCTCTCATTTTTTAGATTTTTAGGTAGATTTTTAGGTAAATCTTTAAAAGATTTTTATTAAAGATTTACCTAAAAATCCATTAAGGATTTTTAGGTAAATCTGTAATAAACTATCAGTTTACCAAAAGATCAACTATGGGATTATCATTGAGCTTTTAAAAACAAATAATGGCACATGGCTTCAAGTCATAAAGAGTCCCAATACATTTGCACCTGATTTGTTTTGTAAATTTAGATTGACGTGTAACTTTTCAGGAACACAGGGATTGTGTGAGTGTTGCCTCACCTGCATCGTTGGAAAGGGTGGTCAGAGTTGTTTTTTTGACTGAAAGAAACATATTTGTTTAGAAGGCTGATTAGATGGCTAAAATAAGATGTTTATAGATATTATTTACTTACGCACTGAATGCTTGGGAACTGTTTAACCACTGATTGCAAAGATGTAGCCTTTAAACTTACATTCCTTCTCTGGGTTCAGATTTTGAAGTTTTAACCCTAAATTTTTTAACCCGAATTTTTTTGTTTTAACCCTAAATTCCTTGACGTCATGACACTTAAACACCACGTATATTTTTCTATGTAAGTTTAGTTGTTTTTGTATTTTTTAACATTTTTCATTTTTAACAAATTTCAGACTCACGTAAGTGTTGCAAAATAGTACAGTTTCCATATATGCCTCACCTAACTTCCTCTAATGTTAGCACCTTACATCACCATAGTGCAGTTATCAAAACCAGGAGATTAATGTTGTTTTAATACTCTTAATCTAAACTAAAAAGTTCATTCCAATTTCAGTAGTTTTTCCACTAGTGAGCATTTTCTGTGCCATGATCCCATCCAGAGACCATCCTGCATTTAATTATTATTTTTCTTTTCCGGTTCTTCCTTTTCCCTTTCTCCTCCTCCTCCTCCTTCTTCTTTTTCTTCTTCTTCTTCTTTTTTTTTTTTTTTTAATGACAGTGCCACTTTTGAAGAATACCAATACATTATTTTGCTAAACATCTCTCATTTGGGTTTGTCCTGATTCAGCTGAGGTTACGCACTTTTGGCAAGACTCCTGCAGATTCTGGGCTGTGTTCTTTGCGGTGCCTCATACCACAGGCTTCATGGTGTGCATATGTTATCACTGGTGATGCTGCCCTTAATACCTTGGCCAGGGTGGTTTCTTCCTTGTACTTTAACCCTGATGGCTAATTATTGTCTGCTATTTCTGACAAATAACAAGGTAACAGATCATGGAATGTGGAGCTGGAAAGAAAACTTAGAGGCCATCCTTTGTAAACCCATCCTTTTACAGTTAAATTCCAGAAGCCATAAGAGGGTAACCGCTCGCCTAAACGTAACCCAGTCACTTAATGTCAGAGCAGGAACTTGGATTTCAGGGCTCCAATCTGAATTCTCTGGGCTTCCCAGATGTAATTCACTTAGCCTCAGTTTTACTGTACTAGAAAGACTGGACTGACTATATGAATGTTCAGCTAACCTTTGGTCGCAACTTACAGCCAGCCTACCAGAGAAATCACAGAGCGGTATACGCACACAGTTCATGCCGCCTGCTCACAGAGCTGACCAAGCCTGGAAATCAGATAAACTTCTATATCAGCATTTCTGAAACTAGAATAATTCTCCTGGAATTCTCCACATAACACACAGGGAACAACAACAAAAAACCTACTTGAGATTTTTAACAGAAAAAGGAGATTTGTTTATTAATAATTCATGAGTTCCCATTGAACATGCACGACAGAAACAGTGCTATTCAATAGAGAATACTGTCATCTGTCACTGTTTTATTTGACATTTACACTTTTTTTTTCCTGATACTGCAAAACTTTCTTGGATGGCATGCAAAAATTATATAAATGAAAAAAATCCCAGCGTGGGGACTCTGTGTCTTCTGTGGTGGGTTCGCTCCCAGCTACATACGTGTGTGCTCACGCAGCCGCTTCGCACTTTCTCACACATTCATTAGCCACCAAACAGGCTAATAAGAGACCCCATTGAGAAAACAGGGATAAGCATCCCAAATGGGCTGGTAGAAGGATCTCGTGAACAAAAAGATGGAGGGCGAGACAGGAAGTGGGGTGGAAGAATGGATTTCCAGAAGGTGAGCCTACGGAGAACGTGGGAACGTGAGCCAAAGGAACGTGTATTATGGCTGCCATGAAGAAAACTGACAAACCGACATCGCCATCTCCAATGCAAAATAAAGGTTTAGAAATGGCATCATGGGAGCGCCACTCGTAGGGAATATCGGCCTTTAGAGGGAGAGCGAGTTAGAGTAAGGAGCGCCTTGCGATTTTGTGCTACTGTAAAGCTCTTGACAATCTTTCTGCTCTGTAGGTTAGTTATTATTTATAAAAATCACAGAACCAGCTGATACATTCATAAGCTAATTATTGAAGCAGCTGGGTACACATGGTGCAATATGTCCAAGGCTGTGAAGTATCACAGATTTCTTGGGGCCTGCTGTGGTGGGGGTGCGCCGTTGAAGGCTCCATCCCTTAATCTGATCAGCCAAGCAAACACTTCGTGGGGAAACTAGATTAATAACCCTCTAAATACCATGAATGTGCTTCATCTTCAAAACCTGGTTCCCTTAAACATGCTATTAGCTCATCTCCATCAGGGATTTGAGGAAGTTCTCTGGTGCCCGAAGAACAGGGTCTTGTTGGCTACCTCCCTGTGCCAGAAATTAATTTGGTTTGCTTATGTCTGCACACATGAACACACTTGTGTCTAATCTGCTCCCTAATAGCTTCAAGGTCAGGACCTTGCATGTCAGTGGGCAAATTGAGCACCACACTTCTTAAAGACTGATGGCAGACAGCACACAGTCCATAACGAGGCCTGTAGTTTGTCCTAAGTGATTGTAATGAGTGCAGATTATAACAGCGCATATAAATCAAATGCGGCAATGAATGTTGTGCGAGACATTCCGTGTATCGTAAGTGGAGATACCACTCAGCTGTCACCTGTCCCCTTTCAAGCTGCAGCTTCCCACAATGCAGTTCACTCCTCAGGCGGAACAGCAGGTGCCATCCTCCTGAAGGTCTGGGTATCTCAGAACTTCATCTTTTAACAGATGTAGGTTTTTGTTTTTATTCTCTGTTAAATGATGGGTCTCTGTGCTATAGCTTCCCCTGGGAGATGTTAAACATACCTGTTTGGAACATTTGAAAGAGTTCAGTTGGAGACTTATTCAGATCTGTGAAAAGACAGAGAAAGAGGAGCTTATTTTTCCGCAGATGGTTTATTTTCCATTTCAAGAATTCTTTCCTTTGTACAGAGAAACCCTTGAGGAAACACTTTGGGACTAGGAGATTTTTTTTTTTAATATAATTTATTTTCTGATAGCACTGACACATGGAATTGTCTTCAACCTTCATATATGTTGCACCTTGAAAATCAGCATTTACCTGTCTCTCAACTGACTTGGAAAAAAAAATCTATGAAGATACTTGGAAAAACATTTCCAAGCAAATGATTCGATATCTTGTTTTCATTCTTCCTAACCCTCTAACTCTCCCCAGCTCCCAGTTTATTGCAAGAAAAGATCAGGTCTGCGCAAATGTGGCCTCTCACTTGTAAAAACAAGGCAGTGTTGTGTTACAGATTAGTTTATAAATCCCCAGTGGCTTCACAGTTCAGTGCTTACAGCTGCTGCAGATGGGCCTGGGTTTTTGTCTCTTTGCGGTGCTGCAGCCGGCGGTTGAAGGAGAAAATGGAATGATCAGGTTATTAACATGGAGGCCGCGAGGAAGAAGCTGCACAATGAGAACAGCTGGTGTTGCTGTCTTGGCTGATGCAGCGGAGATAATCAAATCTTGCCTTTTTTTGGGTAAAGGCAGAAGACACAGTGGAGAGTTAGACAAACAACGGCTTATGATATTATATGGGGTTTTTATAATGCATGTCAGGAACTTTCACTGGCTTCCAGGTTAGGATACAAAATTTGTGGAGATTTGGGATTTAATTTTGACAAAGTTATTTGTGTTTATTTAGGCACCTTTTTAGAAAAATTCTGACTCTTTTGCAAGAGGCGTGATGTGGGACAGTTCTTGTTTTTAAAATTAGCGGTGGAGCTTGGAAGTGATGGGTTAGAAAGCTACTGGGTAAAATATTTTGACATGAGTCAGTGAGCGATGTTGACAGCATCCTCTGTATTATTTTCATATAATCCATCATTATTTGCATTACATTTTCTTTCTCGTGCAGTTTCGAGCGAGAGAACATCCGGATGCCAGAATTGGGAGACACATTTGCAGTTGTGACCCGGCCAACTGCCCACCTTCCTGCAGGTGTGGCTGTGGCAGGAAGGGGATGGTAGGGGGGCCTAGAGCCCAAGGCATTCAGAGATGGAGCAAAAATACGATTTTTTCATTCTAGCTAAGGTGGTGATTTGATTTTGTGGAGTTACTGATAATTCTAAGACTATTTCCTTTCTAGAGAATTCAGTGCCGTTTACACTCAGACATGTTTTCTTCTTTAGAATTCACTATGTTGTAGTACGTGTATGTTCATTTCCACTCTTCTTCTAGGATGGAAACTATCCAGCTGGGTAATTTTTAAAAACTGTAGCTGAGCAACATGAATTACTTTTTTTTTTTTTTCCAGAGAATTGGGTAACTGTCACCTTGCTTGAGTATCTTTTACAAAGGACCTGTAAATTCATTGAGAGTGTATTCAGTGGGAAGGGGATAAGGTAATTAACAAGCATGAAGACTCTTGGGCATTGGGGTAACCAGCTCCGTGGTCGCTGGTTGGTTTTTCAGAATTGTCAGGCTGTTGCGGTGTCCTCCTGGGTCGGGAGGAACAATTGTGACAGAAAACCATGCTACACTGGGACGGCACTGCACCGCAGTCCAGCCATTCTCTGCTGCTCTGCACCCTACAGATTAACCCAGGGGACCTTCTCTCTGTCTCTCTTTCCCTAGGGCTGGTTGTGTGAACTGCTCCGCTGGAAGGAGAACCCCAGCCCAGAGAACCGCACGCTCTGGGAGAACCTCTGTACCATCCGCCGCTTCCTGAACCTTCCCCAGCACGAGAGGGATGTGATCTATGAGGAAGAGTCGAGACATCACCACAGTGAGCGCATGCAGCACGTGGTCCAGCTCCCCCCTGAGCCAGTGCAGGTCAGCGTCCCCTCCTTCCCCTAACCTGAGCAGGGCGGTTGGTGGCAGCAGCTGTCAAGGGTCAGAGGGGCACAGCACACCACCTCCCACTGAAAGGTGTCTCATGCCATGTCTCCTAGGGGGTACGAGGTGCGCGCGTGCATGTTTGTGTCCGCGCATGCCCACGTGGAGAAACATGAGTGAGAAGTCGAATCGGAAGGCAACTGCTTTCCTGAGCGTGTTTTACTTGTGGGACTCTGAAGCCAGAGCACTCATGGAGAATTAAATCTCCCAGTCAGAAAACACAGTTCATAGTTTTCAGCGTTTTCTAAAGAACTCCGAACTAGCTAATAAATTAATCTAAAATCCCTCAAGGAAAGTTTGGCTAGGCTGAGGGACAGAAATATCCACATGAGCGAGAGAATACCATTGAACTCAACCGAACCTTGATAGAAATTATGATAGATTCTCAGAATTTTTAGATGAGTGTTTGCTGTTTTGGGTTTCCTCTCCTTTGGAAATCTGTGTTCGTTTGTGTTGCATGTTTTGTTCAGTTAGTATTTGCTCTCATTGAGAGAAATGGTATTTCTTTCTGAAAACAATTGAGTTTAGCTCCTGAGACTTGCTGCAGTCTAAAAGTCAATGACTTGCAGGAAGAAATATTAACTAGGCTAATACCCCAAATTTTGACCCCTTAGAGTTTGCCCACAAATTTTTGGAGAGCTTTTGAGATTTGTCCTACTGTCCAGTACCAGCAGTCCCTGCTACCCCCGAAGAGGCCCCTGTGGGGCTCCTGTCTGAGCCTCCTTTGGTGTAGCGAGAGGAAGCAGGAATGCATGCTTGTGTGCGTGTGTGTGAAGACGGGAGAGAAGAGGAGGAGAGCGAAGGAAGGGTGGGGTGCCTTTCTTGATCAAGATGTCAAAGGAGAGGCAGTGAAGGACTTGGCAAAATGTTCTACCCTGAGGTTTCCTTGCCTCCTTTCACTTCGATCTCATCCCACATGCCTGGGGGAGAAGCCAGAAGTCAATGGGTCCATTCTATCACTTATCATCCAGATACTGACATCTCAGTCAGTGCCTTCATGCTGTCATTGGTCAGTGTCCAAAGTCACAGAGTGAATTGCCCAAATGATTAGACTCATGAGTTCATACAGCTAGAAGCAATCTCTTAAAGTAGTCGCAGTGAACTGAGAGCAGGCGGGAGATGAGAGTACACAACTGAGTGTTGGAGCCCCTGTTCTGGGCGTGGACTCATGGTAGGGGAAACCCCTTCCCCTGAGGTGAGCCCCAGGGCTTTCCTTTCATGACCCACGTTCCCCCTTCCCTCTCCCGTTCTTTCCTGGTGGGGGCCTCATCCAAACACCAGGACACCTTCCTACAGATAATTAAACAAACGTGCTAAGAGCTGTGTTTTTCAGCTTTTGAGATTCAGGAGAAGTTAAAAAGGGTGATAATACAGGTTCATTGACCTTTTCTTTTGGAGGATGCATTGATTTGAAAAATTGAAGGGATGCTCCAATTTATTATCCATATCATTTCATAAAATAAGATACTCTTTAATATCAACAAGTGAATGAAAAGAATAGTTTCAGACAAAAGTTCTCATAAACTATGAGATCATAGTCAGTCACATGAAAATTCAGTCGTGTGAAAAACTCACTGTCACCCTTGCTTCTCTTGTTTTGATGTGAACTAGTCAAAACTTCTGTTTTGAACCAACACAGGCCGAGGATTAGCTTCAGGGAACCACCAACTTTGTATGGACTTCTCATTCAGGGCCCATCTTAGTTCAGCTCAGGTGAGGTGGAAATAGAACGGGAGTGAAAAACTGATTCATTGTGGACGTTTAGAGCGTCCAGTTTTTAATCACAAGATGATGACAAAGCTGGAAATGTAGGGAAGTTTGAGATAAAATCCTGAAACCATTATAATTAAGGACCTTCCTTCATTTGGATGATGGTTCCTATATATTTCTTTCTCCATGTTTTTGTCCAGAAGTTCTCATTTCTCTGAGATCCCTATGTTTAGGGAGGTAAGAGGATATTCAATATATAATATTTGAACTGACCAGCCTGAGTGAAGTAAATCAGAGAAGCAGACCACCAATTGATTTATGAGTTTTATTGTCTTTTATGTTGGTATGTCAAAACTAGAGTGTGCTAACAATATTTAATGGCTAAGAAAGAGTCACCCTGTAATTTTCCTTTTTCAGTTTTAAGCGCTTCGTGGCTATTAACATTAACTTCTGATATCACTAAGAGAATTCACTTATTTTACAAAAGGTTATTCCTATCACTCAGGTCTTAGCCAAAGAGTTTACAAATAAGGTGATTTTCTCTCCATTGACTTTGACTTAGCCGTTGACCTTGATCCCGTAACTACTGTGAAATTCTTCAATATGTTACTTATTTATTTATTTTTTTTTTACATTTTGCCAGTTTCTCAGTGACACTGGTTTGAAATGCTGCATTTGTTTGTCAGCAAAACACAAGACTTTGGCTTAATTTTATATTATAGTCATGATATGAAAAATGAAGAAAAATAAATGGGACTAGGTGGCACAACTCTTGAGATTGGAGAATGCAGTGGGCACAGCCTCTGCGACATTGGGATGACTGCATTTTAATAAAAGATCCCAAACTACTAAAAAATGTCTAATTGTGTGGAAGTTAAGCCACTGGACTCAGGGTTAGGCTTCATTCGTGCCCTTGTATCAACAAAACTTTAGGGAGATGCAATTATTGACATGTTGTAGGAATTTGATGTGGGGTAATACTAGTTTGGTGTTGTTGCATTTTGTCTAGTGAGGCAGAAAATGCACTGTTGTCTAGTTGCTAAGCAGAAGTGTCATTGATGCTTACGGAGATCTTCTGATGTATAGGGCATAGCGAAAATCACGCAGGCGTCCGCTGCGCTTGTGCTTACGGAAGGGCACCATTTAAATTTCCTTAAGTAGCTGGGGTATGCCATTCCTGGGTTTTCTTCAACAGTAGAGATATGAGCTGTCAGCTGAACTGTGCACCAGATTGTCTGTTGAATTAGGCCCCTGTTGATGGACTAGGTAAAGGAAGGAGCCGCTTCGTATCAGCCCTGCCCCATTTGGTGTTTTCTGTGATGTGAGAAGTCCCTCAGCATCCCAGCCTCTTCCCTTAAGGAAGACAGGACATTTTTCCTGCCATTGGTTGGCAGACAGTTTACATGTTGATAGTGTGACATTGCCTGCGCTTGTGTTTCTTTTCCTGAGCCGCAGAGGGTTTTAAAAATTGAAGCCCACCCTTCAAAATGAGGAGATCTGACATCCAATCCCAATTTTGTGTAACAGTGCAGAAAATCAGATCTGACCCTGGGCCCCATGGCTGGAGCTGACACTCAGGACTCACCATCCTGTGGTGAGATGGAGCCCCACTGTCCCCCCTGCACATGTGCACGCACATCCTGTCTGCGTCATTCCCTTCAGACCCTATCATGTCGCTCTGCGCCTGAAAGGCTGCCTTGCCCCTGTGACTCCAGCTCTCCACCCCAAGGTGCCTTTGCACATGATTCTGATTTCTTCCATGGTCCCCATTATGTGCATTTATTTTTATAATTCTAACACCTAGCAGAAGCTTTTTACACGCTTGCCAAGAAATGCGTGTTTGATGGACTGTCCCTTCAGAGATGAAGCTGGGCTATAGTTGAGACAAAGTTAGGCTGGGGCCACTAAGAGGTGCTGTGAGCCCCAGAACCCTGCGGTCCTAGAAGAGTGAGGCGTTTCCCCCATGGGAGTCCGGACTCCCCCAGGTGAGGTCCAGCTGTGCTGTTATAACGGAGTTGCCTGCTCTCTCCAGTTTTCTCTCCAGGACTCCGTCTCTTTAGAAACTGTCACTGAAATCCCTGCTGTGTAGGGATGCTTGGCTGGCTCCATCTGGAGCATGTGACTCTTGATCTCAGGGTGATGAGTTCGAGCCCCAGGGTGGGTATAGAGATTACTTAAAAAAAAAAAAACAAAAAAAACCCTGTCATGTAGAAGGTAACTTTCCAGGCTGAACACACATTATAAACTAGATCCATCTTTACCATCACCCTCAGAGAGGGTAATATTGCTGTAGGGAGTAAAAATGGATTCTTGGTGAACATAGACATCTTCACTTTACAGTGGTTTGTGGCCTTTCAAAGGGACATGGTACGTGAAGAGATATTCAGTATCTCTGGTACGAAGATTTAACGAAGCAGGGGAAATGACTATGGAGTGGGGGGAGGATGCCTAAAAAGTTTCCTTCAGAGGTTGATAATGAAAAGAAAAATACTGATATACATAATGTTTTTAGTCCTTGTAGAGATACCACAAAGAGGATCAATATAGGTGAGATGACAAGGGAAGCTAAAACAGTCCATGAAAAAGATGAAATAATTCCACTTTTTCATGCCAGAAAGTCAGAGACAAAATTATTTCTCGTGGTTACAGCGATTTTCCCCCCTAGTGGTTATGATGACCTGAGGCCCCATGGTGAATGGATATCCTCAACTTAGAATCAAAAACTAGTTAAGTCAAGTCAAGGTATTCATTATTACCATTTTATAGTTGGAAAGACTGGAGCAGAGACACTGAGCCTTGCTTGAAGCCAGAATCACCAGCTGAATGAAAACACAGGCGTGTTTGGCATCCAGTCTTTCCTCTGACCACACTCCCCTTTTAATGCAGCGAGAAGAAAGGACATTGCTCATGCCCTGACTAGGTCAGTGAGTGGGGTTGATTGGGGAGCGTTTGCCAAATCGTTCCTGTCTCTGTCGTTTGTGCTTTATTGCTTCATTATATTTCCACCACAGTGTTTCCGTGGCTTATTTCGTAAGTTCAGGAATTCTGAGCTTGCTGCCGTGTGGTTTCCTGATGCGGACTTGTTTTAAAATTCCATGCCATACACTGAGTAAGAACGTGAGACCGGGTGGGTGACAGCTGACACCAGCGTCGCACCTCCGCTCGTCTGGACCACTGCCCACTCCAGGGAGTTCTAAGTACTTTCAAAGCCAACAATTCCTTGTCAC